TGCGCGAGCCGCCCGGGGGCCCTTTAAGGGGTTCCGGTCTCGAATACCCAGCCCCGACGCATCCTGGAGCAACCCAGGAACCACCTTGGGGCACTCCGAGAATCGGCGGCCCGCCCGGAGGCGACGGCGGCCCTTCTTGCGCGGATCGGCGGCCCCTTTTCCGCGGAAAAATCGCGCGCGGGCGCGATTTTTTCGCGAAAAAAGTGAAAAAAAAACAGCCCCGAAACCACTACTGCTACAGCAGTAGCAGTAGCCCGAAGCATCACTGAAGCAAACAGTTCTGCTTGCTCCAGTGATGCGGTTCGGGTTTTTATGGTTGTAGCGGTTCAGGTTTTTTTTTGGCTTTTTTTCGCCTTTTTCTTGTGCTTTTTGCGCCAGCTTTGCAAGGGCGCCAGCTTTTTGGCGCGGGGGCGTCGCCTGCCTTGGGCGCAGGCCAGAGCGAAACTTATCGCGCGGGCCGCCAACTGGCGGTCTTGCTCGCCAACCTCGCCACGGCTGCTGGCGGGAGGCAGTTTTTCGCCGTCGCCATCGCTCCAAAACGACTGCCGCCAAGCTGCCGCCAACGCTGCCGCCACCACGTTTGGCGGCACCTTACCACGACCTGACGCTGCGACTTTGCCACTGCCGCCATCGAAAAAAGATAAAAAGACTAATATTTAAATATTAGTCTTTTTATCTTTTTGGTATGGCGGCAGTGGCGAAAGTGCGGAGTTGGCTCGTGCTGAAGTGCCGCCAAACGGGGTGGCGGCAGCGATGGCGGCAGCATGGCGGCACCGACGGCAAACGGGAAACCGAGGCTGTGCCAACTCGTCCGCGCGTTGACCAGCGCCAGCCGAATACGCTACGGAGCGCGCAGCGGCCCTCGCAATGCTCGCAGGTGGCGGGGCTGTCGGATGCTGCTTGCCACGCTTGCCGGGCGGCAGCGAAGTGGCCTCCGCTAGGCCAATGCGCCCCGCGGCAGTTGGGGGCTGCTCGCCTTGCTGTGCTCGGCGACGTGTGCGCCTACGGTAGCCCAACTCGGCGCGAGGCGGGCGGGCGCGGCTTGGCGCGCTTGCCGCGCGACAACGTATTGGCTTACGGTAGCCCAATACGTCGCGGAACTGGCGGGCGCGGCTTGAAGCGCCCGCCGCGCGACGACGTATTGGCTTACGGTAACCCAATACGTCGCGGAGCTGGCGGGCGCGGCTTGACGCGCTTGCCTCGCGCCGACGTATTGGCGTACGGTGCCCCAGTACGTCGTAGGGCAGGCGGACGCGGCGCGGAGCGCTTGCCGCGCGACGACGTTTTGGCTTACGGTAGCCCAATACGTCGCGGAACTGGCGGGCGCGGCTTGGCGCGCTTGCCTCGCGCCGACGTATTGGCTTACGGCAACCCAATACGTCGCGGGAAAGGCGGACGCGGCGCGGAGCGCTTGCCGCGCGACGACGTGTTGGCTTACGGTAAGCCAATACGTCGCGGAACTGGCGGGCGCGGCAGGCCGCGCGGAAACGTATTGGCCCAAAGAAGCCGAGTTCGTTGCGGAGCTGGCGGACGCGGCGGGCCGCGCTCCCCTTCTGGCGGCCCCGCGGAGCGGAAGGAGGGCGGTGCCGCCAATCCCGCGGGGCCCCTGTACCAATGTGGCTACGCGCTTGCAGGGGGCGCACAAAGCGACACCAGCGCCGCCTTCATTGGTACAGGGGCCCCGCGGGATTGGCGGCAGGGCTGTGCCGCGTCTGCGGCTGGTTTCTCATTCAGAAGGGCCATCGGAGGCCGGCTTGCTTTTTGGCTTCGTTCCGGGCGCCTTCAGATCCCGCGCGAGGCTGCATGCTTCGCGCCGGATCTGAAGCCGCCGGGGCCGCCCTTTTGCGTCACAAATCGGCCCCCGAACAGCCCGGGAGCCGCAGGGGCCGTGCGGGAATACGCCGGAGGGCCCCTTGGGGGAAAGAGTGGCGCTCGCTTCCCCCGCAAGGCTCTTGGGGCACTGCGCGAGCCGCCCGGGGGCCCTTTAAGGGGTTCCGGTCTCGAATACCCAGCCCCGACGCATCCTGGAGCAACCCAGGAACCACCTTGGGGCACTCCGAGAATCGGCGGCCCGCCCGGAGGCGACGGCGGCCCTTCTTGCGCGGATCGGCGGCCCCTTTTCCGCGGAAAAATCGCGCGCGGGCGCGATTTTTTCGCGAAAAAAGTGAAAAAAAAACAGCCCCGAAACCACTACTGCTACAGCAGTAGCAGTAGCCCGAAGCATCACTGAAGCAAACAGTTCTGCTTGCTCCAGTGATGCGGTTCGGGTTTTTATGGTTGTAGCGGTTCAGGTTTTTTTTTGGCTTTTTTTCGCCTTTTTCTTGTGCTTTTTGCGCCAGCTTTGCAAGGGCGCCAGCTTTTTGGCGCGGGGGCGTCGCCTGCCTTGGGCGCAGGCCAGAGCGAAACTTATCGCGCGGGCCGCCAACTGGCGGTCTTGCTCGCCAACCTCGCCACGGCTGCTGGCGGGAGGCAGTTTTTCGCCGTCGCCATCGCTCCAAAACGACTGCCGCCAAGCTGCCGCCAACGCTGCCGCCACCACGTTTGGCGGCACCTTACCACGACCTGACGCTGCGACTTTGCCACTGCCGCCATCGAAAAAAGATAAAAAGACTAATATTTAAATATTAGTCTTTTTATTTTTTTGGTATGGCGGCAGTGGCGAAAGTGCGGAGTTGGCTCGTGCTGAAGTGCCGCCAAACGGGGTGGCGGCAGCGATGGCGGCAGCATGGCGGCACCGACGGCAAACGGGAAACCGAGGCTGTGCCAACTCGTCCGCGCGTTGACCAGCGCCAGCCGAATACGCTACGGAGCGCGCAGCGGCCCTCGCAATGCTCGCAGGTGGCGGGGCTGTCGGATGCTGCTTGCCACGCTTGCCGGGCGGCAGCGAAGTGGCCTCCGCTAGGCCAATGCGCCCCGCGGCAGTTGGGGGCTGCTCGCCTTGCTGTGCTCGGCGACGTGTGCGCCTACGGTAGCCCAACTCGGCGCGAGGCGGGCGGGCGCGGCTTGGCGCGCTTGCCGCGCGACAACGTATTGGCTTACGGTAGCCCAATACGTCGCGGAACTGGCGGGCGCGGCTTGAAGCGCCCGCCGCGCGACGACGTATTGGCTTACGGTAACCCAATACGTCGCGGAGCTGGCGGGCGCGGCTTGACGCGCTTGCCTCGCGCCGACGTATTGGCGTACGGTGCCCCAGTACGTCGTAGGGCAGGCGGACGCGGCGCGGAGCGCTTGCCGCGCGACGACGTTTTGGCTTACGGTAGCCCAATACGTCGCGGAACTGGCGGGCGCGGCTTGGCGCGCTTGCCTCGCGCCGACGTATTGGCTTACGGCAACCCAATACGTCGCGGGAAAGGCGGACGCGGCGCGGAGCGCTTGCCGCGCGACGACGTGTTGGCTTACGGTAAGCCAATGCGTCGCGGAACTGGCGGGCGCGGCAGGCCGCGCGGAAACGTATTGGCCCAAAGAAGCCGAGTTCGTTGCGGAGCTGGCGGACGCGGCGGGCCGCGCTCCCCTTCTGGCGGCCCCGCGGAGCGGAAGGAGGGCGGTGCCGCCAATCCCGCGGGGCCCCTGTACCAATGTGGCTACGCGCTTGCAGGGGGCGCACAAAGCGACACCAGTGCCGCCTTCATTGGTACAGGGGCCCCGCGGGATTGGCGGCAGGGCTGTGCCGCGTCTGCGGCTGGTTTCTCATTCAGAAGGGCCATCGGAGGCCGGCTTGCTTTTTGGCTTCGTTCCGGGCGCCTTCAGATCCCGCGCGAGGCTGCATGCTTCGCGCCGGATCTGAAGCCGCCGGGGCCGCCCTTTTGCGTCACAAATCGGCCCCCGAACAGCCCGGGAGCCGCAGGGGCCGTGCGGGAATACGCCGGAGGGCCCCTTGGGGGAAAGAGTGGCGCTCGCTTCCCCCGCAAGGCTCTTGGGGCACTGCGCGAGCCGCCCGGGGGCCCTTTAAGGGGTTCCGGTCTCGAATACCCAGCCCCGACGCATCCTGGAGCAACCCAGGAACCACCTTGGGGCACTCCGAGAATCGGCGGCCCGCCCGGAGGCGACGGCGGCCCTTCTTGCGCGGATCGGCGGCCCCTTTTCCGCGGAAAAATCGCGCGCGGGCGCGATTTTTTCGCGAAAAAAGTGAAAAAAAAACAGCCCCGAAACCACTACTGCTACAGCAGTAGCAGTAGCCC